GGAAAACAGAAAAATATTGACAAATCTTATTCTCAAACTCTCCAGAAATTTAGAGCAGCTGAAGATGATCTCAAGGATATTTGGTGTTCCTGATGTAGAAAATTCAAAAATATGGAACAGAAAGAGTAAGAATTAAGATATAATCCAAGAAATTTCCAAAAATGCAGAACGAATTGAATGTGTAGAACATACCATGTTCCAGGAAGTCTTGATCTAGGACAACCCATAGTGAGTCATATTCTAATTCAGTTTCAAGAATCAAGAACATCTTCAGACATCCAGGCAGAAATTGTAAATAATCCACAAGGGATGAAAAAAGAATTGTGATGCCAGGACAAGATAGAATAATATTCATAAAGCGCTGAAGGGAAGAAAATATTCTTAATATTTTTCATAGTCTTTCAACCTCACAACAGTAGTTCTCAGACCTAGCTGCACATTGGGATCTCTGGAGAGTTTTTTAAATGTTCCATGTTTAGAGCCACCCCCCTCCCCAAACCAGCTAGATCAGAATCTCTGGGAATCGAGCTTGGACAAGGGTATTTCTCAAAAATTCACCAGGTGACTCTAAGTGCAAGTGATTCTAGGGCAGGATACTCTAAGCATGGACCCTGGTTCAGCGGTAACAAGCATGGAGCTTGATAGAAATGCCAAGTGTCAACCCCCACCCTAGACCTATAGAAATAAATACAGATTTATCTGTATTTTAACAAGTTCTCCAGGAAATTTGGATGCCTGCTTAAGTTTTAAAAGCCTCGAAGAAGAATCTCTCTCTCTCATAACATTTTGTTCACTTTATTGTTATAAAGACTCAGTGGTTCTGTGAAAGTGTTCATTATCTTTTGGTGTCGTGACTTACTGTCTCTTACAAGACCAGGGAATAACTTCTGTGTAAGTGACCGAATGAAGCAGAGGCCAACGCTAGTGGAGAATGCCTTTCAAGTCTCAAGGTCTCTCTCTATGACTTATGCTCAAGTTTCCCCTGCAACAAAGATCATATGTGGAAGCTTTTGTTTGTTCACTCATCTTTAGAAGACTTCATGTAGGTTTTTCTAAGTTGACAAATGTTTTAGATCAGAACCAGAAGTTTCTTGCAGAGGAATTTTTTAGGAAAGAATATCTCTTTTAGGAAAAAAGGTTTAGATCTAGATTCAGAGATAAATCTAAAGATGGATCTAAGTATAGATTAATAAAATATTTTAAAATTAATAACATTTGGATTTTAGCAATGTCTTCGGTCGCATTTAAGTTTATTTTTCTTATAGCTGAGTAAAATTAAGTTGATTAACTTGGATATAGCATGCATAGAATAAACCCATTACAGTAAAAGTAGTTCTGTATCTATCTGCAAATATACAGAGAAAGATGCTCATCTGATGTTATTTATGACTGGTGCGATTTGAGGTACTTTTTGAATTTTCTTCTCCTGTACTGTTGAAATTCCTGAAAATGTAAATTATTTTTCCAAAAATATTGAAGTGATTTTTTAGTAAACAAAACAAACCCAAATCCTCAATTCATTAATTTGACCAGGATAATCAGGATCTGTGTACCAGCCCACACCAACCAGATTCACAGAGACTGTGAATCAGAATTGCAATACATTAATTAACATACCCACTCCTAGATCTAAGATATGTCATCCAGAGAAGGAACCTACTTTTCTGGGACTATATTTACTCAGGACTCTAAACTACGTATTAGAGGGTTGCTTGATAGAAGAGCATAGAATTAGAGAAAAGACAGTAGGTCTGATCTTTTTAGGGAATTTCTTTGAAACTATCATTGGCTAAAGATTTGTCCTTCACTGAAGCGAATTATCCTTTGTCAAGAACTGTTTTCTCACCCTAAAATCAAGACTCCATCTTCCCATCCTAAGTATTTACTATAAGGTACAGTTTCCCAAGATTATGACTGATATTGCTTACACTGGAGGACTTTCCAAATTACAAATGCAAAAAGGTCATTTCTGACAAGATCGTCTTCAACTCAAACATAAATTTAACATCCATGGTAGCTATGATATCAGAAGTTGGCATCTCATACTTATCTCTGCAACCTTGGGTTTATCTCACTAGGGGGTTGTTTGAGCCTTCTGGGTACTGAATATGTCCTGTTCATGAGGAACAAAAAGAGTACATGCAATGTAAGGAAGTAGAGCCTGTGGGGCTTTTTTTTCTTTTTAAAAATTTAATGAAAAACATAAGTTAAATTCAATCCAAGGTTTAAAAAGTGATTAATTATTGTCAGTATATCTCATATCTTTCTTTATTAAAAAGAAATAAACATTCCAGTCCTTTCTTGCATTGACTTGGGTTGAACTCTTTCATGGGGGAGAGGGGGGCAGAGATTTTCCACTCCACTAATATAAATGCTGCAGGATGTGTTAGTGTCATAACTTAGAAACTCAACTCAAGATCGGGAGATATTTTTCTCTGGGCAAGGACGGTCTTCCTCTAAATTTTAAGTAACTAAATTATGATGTATCAAATAAATTTAAGTTTTTTAAAAATTATTATTCCACTAAGTTTATGTATATGGGCTTTGAATCCTAGTAGGATAGAATTCTAGCTCTCCTGGTTTCTAGCTAGAGACCCAGTGTAAAACAAAAACCCTTTATTTACTTCATTTATAAAACAGCAAAAACATCACTTACCTACTTTTTAGGGTTTTCCTAATGCTTGCAAAGTAATATTAAACGTTGAGAGTACATACTAGGAGCTCAATAAATGAAATCCATTTGATAATCAAAGATGTTTAGAAGTGCTCATCCAAATAAGAGTTCATCAAATTTTTGTTTGAGAGTAGCTTTTCTCCTGTTTCCCATTTCTCAAATCACTGACCACACTTGGAGTAGTTGGTCAGAAGACAGAAAAAGTACAGATAATATCTAAGTCATTCTCATTTGAAATTCAGAAGTAAGCACAAACATATCCACGTACGTTTACTTGGTTATCTTCCAGGAACGAATGCATTGTGATAATGCATACAAACACATACATATTCATAATGTATTTTGCACATTAATATAAAGCATTCAAGGACATGGAACATGTTCATTCTCCTGCATCTGTTTTCGCCTTCTTCCTATTTCCTCCCATCCCTTAAGAATTTGGGCTCTCTTCTCTCTCTACTTTTTTTATCAGGAGAAACACAGGCTTAGCTAGGCAAATGTTTCTCCAAGTTCTAGTTCTTGTCAGTATCTTTTTCTGGAACTACACACCTGCTTCCAACTACCTATTTGGCATCTCTGTCCTGATGGCACCCTAAACTGACTATACCCAAAGTTGCATTCATTATCTTATTCCCCCCCCCAAATAGGACCTCCTTCAGAGAATCTTATGCTTAAAATTGGAAATGAGCTGGTTTTGACTCTTCCTCTCCTGATACCCTATGCTAATCAGTTAATTTGAAGTCCTTTGCCATGATGTCTTAATTACCTAGTCTCTCCTTCCCATTCCCGTTTCTACCTTTCTACTGAGAGATTCTTACCTCAATTTTTATAACAACCTCCTAAATGCTTTCCCTACTCCAGCCCCCTCCCGTTACAACCTGGTCTACCAACACATTAAACCCGAATGAACCTTCCTCAATCACAAACGCAGTAATTTACTTTCATTCTCAAAATCTGCCATTGTGAAAGAGGAAATAGAAACTCGGGCTTGGCATCTGAGGTTCCCTACCAGGTGTCATCAGGTTATCTTTTGAGCCCTAGCGTCCTCGATTCTTTTGACCCCGAGGGTGCATAAATGAATGGCCCCACAAAGGCAGATCTAGTTTGCACGTGTAATTTTCTTTGACCCACACATGATTCTATACATTTGGAATTAGTTGCTTATTTCACTTAGTTGCTAACGTTTACACATTGCCATGTGACACAAAGCTAGGCAGTGAGTGGCCTCTTAAATGGAAAAACATGCCCTGGTTCACCATAGCCTTCATCTGATTGGTGCTCTATCACTCGATCTGGTCCCAGCTGGGTACCTGTAAGCACGTGAATTTATGACACTTGCCCTATACTACCTAGTGCCCCAGCCAAATGCATCACTCCCACATGCACAGCATATGTCTCTGCTTATGTTATTCCATCTTTCTAGAAATGCCCTCTCCTTCCATCTTTCCTGTCTTTAAGGTTCATTTCAAACACTGTTACCTTCTGTGAAGCTTTCTTTGACCACCCCAATGGATGTTACTGCCCGGTTTGTAACACTCTGTGGTTCTCTTATGGCCTGTATCCCACTCTTCACTGGATCAGTCATTGGTATCCTTGATTTCTTCCCATATCTCAGGGAGGTGTATTGATGGGTGCTTGTCCCCCACTCCTCTAAGCTTTCTGAAAGAGGGGTTTTCCTCTTGACCTAGACCTTCCTTTCTCCTCCCTACAGAGATGGAGCAGGTTTCCATCTCTCCCCTCTGGGGATCTTCCTGTCCACACAGTAGAAATGCCTTGTTCTACTTGGCAGGAAAGGCCCTGGAGGGTGAGCTTGTCAGGAATGACTGAATGTGTACATTTGCCCAATTCTGAAGTTCAGGATTAGGAGGCCCACTGTTGCCACACATCTAAGACAGGATTTTCCTTCCAGGTTTTACCAGCAAACAAAGCTAATATTTTCATCTGCTTGAATCCTTATCTCACAACTGTTTTCAAACTCAAGCAGGGAAAAGGAGGTGTTCTCACTGGACATCTCTAAGCCCAATAATGATTCACTGCCTTGAATCCTCTGCAGCAACTAGCAAAGTCATTCACTGTACAGAGAGGCACTCAAAACACATGTATCAAATTGAATCAAAGGGTATAATCAATATGCATAAAATTCATGGAATGTAATTTCTCCTATGTCATGTCCCCATAAAACATAACTTAAATGTCTTTTTGTAGATGTTAAAGAAATGCAAATGATTCTGTATATTACATAAAATATTTATTTCTTATTTACATTTCCATTTTTATGTAAATCATTGCACATATTACATATCAAAAAAAGAAAAAGAAAGGAAAAGATATATAAACCTTAGACGTCAGTGAAGAAACCATTGCACCATGTGATACTTATCAGCAGTCTCGCAGGTATCGTTTCTTGCTCTTTTTGGATTTTCTAGTAGTTTCTTGACGAATGGTATCATACTCCAATATGGCCATTTTGGAAAGTCTCTGTAAGTATTGAGATGATGCTCCAGCAAGAGGATCGCTGAAGCCAGAACCTGTGAAGAAAAAGAAATCAGCTATTAAAATTAAGCACACTGAAATTATATTCTCTAAAATACAGGGCAAACAAAATCTCTCTTCCTCAAATGACCATTAAACACTGCTAGTTCTTGATATATCACATTAGTTGAAGTAAAAATAGAAAATATTTACTTTCTAAAGTGATTGTGATGTCAAGTCATCTCAAAAATATTTAACTAGGGGTGCCTGGGTGCCTCAGTCGGTTGGGAGTCTGACTCTTGATTTGGTTCAGATCATGATCTCAGGGTCATGGGATCGAGCCCTGCATAGGGCTCCACTCAGCAGGGGGCAGGAGGGGTCTGCTTGAGATTCTCTCTCCCTCTCCCTCTGCCTCTCCCCCCACTCATGCTCTCTTTCTAATAAATAAATAAGTCTTTTTTAAAAATGTAACTAAAAAATCCTATAATATTTGTATTTAATTATATAAAACTATATCTGAGTCTATAATGTACTTTTTAAAACATGGGATGGCTGTGGAATTTATTCCAAAGCAAAAGAAACAGTCCCCCAAAATAATAAACTTGTTTCATACCTTACATGTTCATCAAGTTATTTTCTCCAAATATACCATTTCTCATAAATGCTAAGTTTAGTAAAATAGTAAAACTGTAAAGGAAAATGAATCATTCACTAACTGAACAGCATTACTCAAGTTTCTATTATAGAGTGGTAGTAATAATAGTAATAGATAACATATATCAAATGATCTCTCTGTGCCAAGTACTTACATTTATTTCATCCACACAACACTATGAAGTAGGCAATTAGTACTATCTTGGACCACAGATATAAAAAGAAGATTTAGTGGGGTTAAAGTCTTGCCCAAGGGCAAAGGATTTGAATCCAGATTCCTCATATTCAAACTTCCCATGCAATCACTACATAGTGCCCTAAATATGTAAAGATGTATAAATACTTCTATTTTGAAACATATAAAACTTAGAAAATAATGTACTGATTCAAACTTAAAATATTATTTAATTTCAAAACAGTCAAGTGTCAAAAAAAGCTATCTACAATTCTCCACTGTGGTTATTTTTGGTTTGGTTTGTTATTTGAGTGCATAACATAAGTAGGAAGTTCAGAGAAAGAGAGAGGGTAGAGGGAAAGAATATGATCGGGATACCGGTTCTTAGCAGTACAATGACCCTGACACTTAGAAAAACTCTCTGGCTACAAATTAACTGGATTCTAGATATTAAGCAAATGTCAAAAAGCCTCAAAAAACTTCAAAACTTCATACAAATCAATGCAATTAAGTTGGAAGTTGTTAACAATAAGATAAATTTAAAATCCTCAAATAGTTAGAAATTTATACACACATTCTAGATTATTCATCAGTCAAAAAAGAAATCATAAGAAACATTAAAATGTTTGTAACTAAATGATAATGAAAATATTACAAAACTTCTGTGATGCAGCAAGAGTTATACATAGAGAGGTTTATACCCCAAATTCCTATGTTAGAAAAGAAGGCTTAAAAATTAATAAGTTAGGTATAAGATACACATTAGGAAAATAATAAACCCAAAGAACATAGAAGAAAAAGATAATACAGGAAAGAGAAGAAATCAATGAAGTAGAAAACAAATTTACAATAAGAAAGATTTTTTTGGAAGATGAGTTCTTCATTGAAGATAATAATAAAGAAGAAAAGTCTTTGGTAAGATTGATTAAGATAAAAAGGCAGAAGGCACAAATAAATAACACTAAAAGAAGAGGGACACATAGAGCGTGTGACTCTTGATCTCAGGGTTGTGAGTTCTAGCCCCACATTGGGTGTAGAGATTACTTATAAATAAAATCTTTAATAAAAAAAAAAGAAGAAGAGGGATAGAAGTACAGATAAAACAAAAACTCAACTTTATGCCAATATATCTGAAAATTTAGACAAAATGCAAAAAAATTTAGAAAATATAACTTACCAAAATTGATTGAAGAATTAGAATGCCTTAAAAATCCTAAAATTAAAATGATTGAATCAATATTAAAATAATTCCTGCCTTGCTGTCTGCTTTGTTTGATATTAGTGTAGCTACACAATCTTTCTTCTTATTAATGTTTACATGATTTGTATTTTTCCAACCTCGCACTTTTGATCTTTCTTGCCCTTAAGTTTAAGGTATGCCTCTTGCAAACAACATACAGTTAATTTTCTCAGTCTGATACTTTGTTTTTTCAATGAAATATTTAGTCTGCTTATATCTAATGTAATTGTTATGTTTAATTTTAAATCTTCAATCTTGCTAATTGTTTTCTATTTGTCCCATATGTTTTATGTTTCCTTTTTCCTCCTTTCTTGTCCTCTTCTGAAATGATCAAGTGTTTTCTCATTTTATATTTTTCCCTCTCTATTAGCTTGTTACTTGTATTATTTTGTTATTCTTTTATTGGTTACCATACAGATTATCACATGTCTCTTTGACACATTACAATCTAGTTTACATTAGTTATTTTACCATTTTTCAAATAATGCGAGTATCTTACAATACTTTAACTCCACGTATGCCCCATCCTACCTCTGTGCTACTATTGTCAAGTATTTTATTTCTACACAGATTTTAAACTTCATAATAATACAGTTACTGCTTCTCATTCTTTTCCAAGTTGTTGTACTTCCTTTTTGTATAATTTCTTCCTTAGTATTTTTTAGTGAAGCTCTGCAGACAATAAATTCTCTCAACTTCTATTTGAATGAAAATGTATTTGTTTCACTTTTACTTTTAAGGGTATTTTCACTGGGTATCCAATTCAAGTTTGGCAGTTATCTCTTTTAGCCCTTGAAAATGCTATTCCAGGGGTGCCTGGGTGGCTTGGTCGTTAAGCGTCTGCCTTCGGCTCAGGTCATGATCCCGGAGTCCTGGGATCAAGTCCCATGTCGGGCTCCCTGCTCAGCGGGAAGCCTGCTTCTCCCTTTCCCACTCTCCCTGCTTGTGTTCCCTCTCTCGCTGTGTCTCTCTCTGTCAAATAAATAAATAAATAAATAAATAAATAAATAAATAAATAAATAAAAAGAAAGAAAGAAAGAAAGAAAGAAAAAGAAAATGCTATTCCACTTTCTTCTTGCTTCCATTGTCTACACTTAAAAAGTCAGCTGTACGTCTTACCATTGCACCTTTGAAGGTAACATATCTTTTCTCTGTTTTCTTGTTTTGTGTTGTTTTTTTTTTTAACTTAGTCTTTTTATTATCATGTGCCTAGCTGTGGTTTTCTTTGTTTCTCTCCTGCTGAGGGCTCACAGAACTTCTTGTATTGTTCGCTTTGTATTTTTCATCAAAATTGGGAACTTATCAGCCAGTATGTAAATATTGTTTCTGTCCTACCTTGTTTATACTGGAATTAGAAGTACACATGTGTAGGGGAACCCTCCTACACTGTTGGTGGGAATGCAAGCTGGTGCAACCCCTCTGGAAAACAGTATGGAGGGTCCTCAAACAGTTGAAAATAGAGCTACCATACAATCCAGCGATCGCACTACTGGGTATTTACCCCAAAGATACAAATGTAGGGATCCGAAGGGGTACGTGCACCCCAATGCTTATAGCAGCAGTGTCCACAATAGCCAAACTGTGGAAAGAGCCAAGATGTCCAACGACAGATGAATGGATAAAGAAGATGTGGTATATATACACAATGGAATATTATGCAGCCATCAAAAGGAATGAGATCTTGCCATTTGCAACGACGTGGATGGAACTGGAGGGTGTTATGCTGAGTGAAATAAGTCAATCAGAGAAAGACATGTATCATATGACCTCACTGATATGAGGAATTCTTAATCTCAGGAAACAAACTGAGGGTTGCTGGAGTGGTGGGGGGTGGGAGGGATGGGGTGGCTGGGTGATAGACATTGGGTAGGGTATGTGCTATGGTGAGTGCTGTGAATTGTGCAAGACTGTTGAATCACAGATCTGTACTTCTGAAACAAATAATGCAACATATGTTAAGAAAAAAGAAAAAGAAGAAGATAGCAGGTGGGGAAGAATGAAGGGGAGTAAGTCAGAGGAAGAGATGAACCATGAGAGATGATGGACTCTGAAAAACAAACTGAGGGTTCTAGAGGGGAGGAGGGTAGGGGCATGGGCTAGCCTGGTGATGGGTATTAAAGAGGGCACATTCTGCATGGAGCACTGGGTGTTATGCACAAACAATGAATCATGGAACACTACATCAAAAACTAATGATGTAATATATGATGATTAACATAACAATAAAAAATTTATTAAAAAAAAGAAGTACACATGTGTGAAGCAAGTTTACTTTGTCACATAATGACTTGCACACTCTCTTCTGTATTATCTTTTTTCTCCCTTCACTTTAATTGGGTATTGTCTAATGATCTTTCATTTTACAAATCCTTTCATCTGTTGCTTTCCTTTTCTCCCCCAACTTTATTTCAGTTTATTTCACAAATAAAAGTTGTATATATTTAAGGTTTACAACACGACTTGATATACATATATATTATGAAATGATTACCACAATTAAGTTAATTAACACATCCATCACCTCACAAAGTTATCTTTTCTGGGAAAGTAACTGGGTTCTCATCTGGGAAGATGAGAGCACTTGAGACCTACTCTCTTAGCAGACTTCAGTATACAATTCAGTATTATTAACTATAGTCACCATGCTGTACATTGGATCCCCAGAACTTATTCATCTTAGAACTATAATTTTGTACCAACATCTCTCCATTTGCCCCACTCAAAACCTTGGTAACCACCATTCTATTCTGTATGTTCAACTTTTTTTTTTTTTTTTTTAAGATTCCACATATAAGTGATTGATTCCATTAGGAACAAAATCTCATGCAGCATTTGTCTTTCTCTGTCTGGCTTATTTCACTAAGCATAATGCCCTGTGGGTTTAACCATATCGTCACAAACAACAGATTTCCTTTTTTACTGCTATATAATATAGGTATCCCAGCTTTTCAAAAGTTCACGTTGGCCATTTTACTTCTATGAAAGACCTACATTAGTATCTGTTTTTGCTAACTGCCAAGAAATCCAATAAAGATTTTTCACTTTGATTTTAAAAAGGTAAAAACTGAAAATAGTGTTCAGTGTTTGTTTTGCAGCGAGCCATTAGAGAGGTAGCATGCACCCTGAACAGTGAGGGTGGCACCATCAAGCTCCTTCCTGAACTACACTCAGCATCTCAGCATCAAGCTGCCACAGCTTTGAAAAATTTCAAAGGTCAGAAACTCAAAGCAAGACTAGTATGCAGGCCATGCAATGGCCCACATGAGAGATGATGAGGGACTATCCCAAGGTCCTGAGATAATAAAGGTGTGTGTATAGTGAACATAACATCCACTATGTTTATATAATAAACAAAGCTTAAAAGAAACATTAAAAAGAACAAAGCAGTTAAATCAGTGGAAAGAAAGAAAGTTAAAAATAATAAGTATGAGACAACCTAATAAGACACGTGGCAGGAGAAAAAAAATGAGCCAACTTACTCTTTGGTTTCTCTTGAAGTGGTACCATGGTGCAGGCCTCCTTAGTCTTCCTTATCCTAAAATTACATATTATCATAAAATCACTTTTACATAAACCCAGGGTACATTAATTTAAAAAATACAATAAGAGACAAGAAGCTGCTTTCAGCAAAACTCACTTGGTGAAGGACATCACATGGAAAGTAAATTAACATTAAAGTAAACTCATTCCATCATAACTAATCCAATCAGAAGCAGATAGGAACAACTCAACATCTCAGTTTTTGCTAATAAATTTTACCTGTAGATAAGTGTTATATCTAACTTTTCCCATATTTATCTTATCTTTATCTTAACTTTCTCTAAGTATGATTCAGGGAATGCTAAGAGGAAGGGAATCAAGATTAGATTAAGAGGGTATCTAGATAGGCCAATATCAACTATCCCCGTACTTGTGCTCATTTTGCGTATTAACCACCACAATCTGAATTTTATCTTAATTAACTTTTGTTCCTACTGGAACAGACCTACATAACAAGTGGGTTATTAGAGGAAGTATGTCTTGACCGAACCTGCTGTAGGTGAGATAATCTATAAGAATTGCAAATTTCCTGTAACTATATTAAACTTTAGAAGTCAGGGGCACCTGGGTGGCTCAGTCATTAAGCGTCCACCTTCGGCTCAGGTCATGATCTCGGGGTCCTGGGATAGAGCCCCACACTGGGCTCCCTGCTCCGCAGGAAGCCTGCTTCTCCCTCTCCCTCTCCCCCTCCCCCTGCTTGTGTTCCCTCTCGCTGTGTCTCTCTCTGTCAAATAAATAAAATCTTAAAAATAAATAAATAAATAAATAAACTTTAGAAGTCAGGTGGAACTTTTAAATGCCCTTCGCTTCTAGGATTACTACTATAGTTATATTACCAGAGTGTGCCTTGAGAGTCACTGAAAGTGTGTGATTATAATTAAAGAAATTTGAGGGGCGCCTGGATGGCTCAGTTGGTTAAGCATCTGCCTTTGGCTCAGGTCATGATCTCGGGGTCCTGGGATCAAGCCCCGCATTGGGCTGCCCCTGCTCTGCAGGGAGCCTTCTTCTCCCTCTCTCTCTGCTTGTCACTCCCCATGCTTGGGTTCTCTCCCTCTCTCTCTCTCTGTCAAATAAATAAATAAAAAATCTTAAAAAAAAAGAAATTTGAAAAAACAAACTTTTATCAGCATTTTAAAAACAAATATTCACATATGGAGGGAAAAGAGGGGCTAAGGGGTTGTACACAAGACAAACAAAAATGCGTTACTTCCCTGCTTTGCCATGGCTGTTCATTCATGGAGTGCTGTGCAATATGCAGAGGAGAATAAAATACTTGCACGCAACTTGACATGTTCTCACTAGACTGGCTAAAATAAAGACACTTGTTTCAAAAACAGAGAAAAGAACTAACACTTACATTTGCCAAGCACTTCATAAACATTATGGCACATAGCCACTGCTCTTCCACTTTGTATATGAACAACACTTGTCATAACATGAATTTAATATATTCAAATTATCCTTCACTGGCTAGGTAAATTCACACTCAAGTCGATGTAAAATGGCGAGGAATCATTCACAAACAGCCAAATTGCAAATGAAAAAAACCAAAAAACTGAAATAGAGCAAAAACAGTAGGAAGCAAAAGGCACATTAAGAGGTAGTTGGGCTAATTTAGGGGGTGCTTTCTGGGTTTCCAGTTTCTTAAAGATGAGCATATGCAATGAAAGAAGGGTAACAAGCCTGGGCTGTACTGAGACAAGTCCATTGCCAGACTCAGCCCTACACCCTCCTCAGAGGGCCCTGAGACTCCCAATTAAAATGACAAGGTTGAGGGGACTGTTAGGGACAAAGGTGTCTCCGTAAGGATGGAAAGTCACTGTCCTTAAGTAGGTTTTATATTCATGCTCCCAACTCTCTCTGTTCTTTCTACATCCCTGCCATCCCTCCTCTGTACCTGTTACCATCTACTCCACTAGCAACTTGCTTGCTCTCTTCCACCATCCCTGATTCTGCCTTATTTCATTATAATCTCATGGAAGAAAGAGTAATTTTGCTTTTTATATTTTTACAGCTTGGAAATCTGTCCTCAGATAATACTAAGAATGATAGGGAGTGGTTAAATAAACTATGGATACATTAATGAGATACAATGTAGCCAGTAAAGACTGTTTGAAGATTATGCAGCGACATGAAAAGAATGACTATGTGTAATAATAAGTCAAAAAGGCAAAATAAAAAATTGTAAGTACACTAAAATCATAGCGAAAACAAAAGTTCCCAAAAATGAAGAAGAGAATGAACACCCAACAATAAAAATGGATATGTTAGGATGGGTAAATTATCGAAATATTGTTTATCTTTTTTCTCCAAATTTTCTGCAAAGTTCTTATCTATTTTCATAATTTCATAAATTATGCACAACTTTTCATTTTTAGTGTATTTTCATATGACCAAAACTTATTTCAAGAGTAATTAAAAAGAACAATAATACTAGTGGAAAACTCGATAAGTATATTTTAAAACTCCTATATTTGTGTGCTGTGTGTAACTGGCTGACTTTAAAGCTCAGGGAATATGAAAATACAAATTTTCCCCTAAGGAGAGTAGCAACTCAGACTACTATAAATGCATCATCTTTTTTTTTAAGGCTGGCAAAGTGAACAAGTCCTGGACATTCGATAAATCCCTGAGGAATAAATAAATAAACCAAAGCAGCCACCAAATAGAATATGAGACTGTCTTACTAACTTATAGATCCCTTTGGAGAAAGGGGTTTTCTTTTAACAGTATGTCAGCCAGTCTGATTTATAAAAAGGAAGGTAATTATGATAATGGTTTTAAATGCCAATATTCAAAGTGAGTGGGACTTTTGTGGTTGACAGACTCCTTGTCCAATTGTCAGCGCAAGTCTTCATCAGGTTGTCATCTCATTTAGAACCTCCCCTCACACTATGTCAGTCAGACTAGAAACAAAACCCAAGGTACTATATTCAGCGTACAGTAACCTGTTAATATTGCAGAGAGTTCATTTATTTTTATTGCTAAAAATTCCAATATTCTCATGGGCAATCCATACTAGGGCAACAAATATTTTTAAAAGGAAGTCCTTAAGTCCTTTCTGGCAATGTCCCTTGAAAACTGAGAAAAGGGTGTACTTGTCAAACCAAACAAAATTGCTACCTAGACTAAAACGTGAGATCCTTTATGAAAAAAATATCAGTGGGCAAGAAAGACTTCAACTCACTAGGCAAGAAAACCTCTACCTTTAGCAGTATTACTACAGATACGTGTCGAACACAAGAGAACTGAAGAGCAATGGTCTACCTGACTGGAGGCATCTCGGTGTTAGCATGAAGCAGTCTTGGATGAACTTCCAGTGGAGTTGAACTTACACTTTTTGGGCAATTCTGCAGTCTTGGTAAATATGGCATTTTGACACATTCTTTGAACTCTTCTAGACCAAATGCTGTGGTGTATTCTAATTAAAAATAGCATCATAATCAATGGTATTATTTCTTGATGAAATGTATATAACTTCTTCTACCATATACTAAAATGCATAATACAATACAGTTAATCAGTCATTAAGTAAAGAAAATAAAGCTATTGTAATTTATCTAGTATCTTTCCCAAGAGAATACCTTTCAATTCCTACCATAGGGATTGTAGGGAAGAGTTGATTCAGGGTCTGATTAAGAAGTAGAATAAGAAAAAAGGACAGCTTCACAGATCTCCCATAGTTGTCACTGTCCTCTGCCCTCATTATTTTATATAATTAGAATTTCCAGAATATTAGAGAAATTCACATTGAAAGAGTTTAAAAGCTCTTTTAACAGTCTTGTATTATCTGCTATTTTAAACCTTTCTACCTTCCTGCTTTTATGTAAATAAGAGGTATAAATACTTGATTATTGAGTTAGCAATGAGACATAAAAGAATTTTATTTCAGGCATTGATTTTAATTTTCTCAGGGGTGCCTGGGTGGCTCAGTTGGTTAAGTGTCTGCCTTCAGCTCAGGTCATGATCCCAAGGTCCTGGGATGGAGCCCCGCATTGGGCTCCCTGCTCAGTGGGGAGTCTGCTTCTCCCTCTCTCCTTCTCCCTCTGTTGCTCCCCCTGCTTGTTCTCTCTCTGTGTGAAATAAGTAAATAAATAAAATCTTAAAAATAATAATAATAATTTTCTCTCTGCAAAATTTCACACAAATCTATAAACACTAACATTGAAGCATCAAGGTTGCTTCTCCTACTGACCTCACATAAAAGAGATTATCAAATTATTTAAAAACAAAACAAAACTTCAAAATGAAGGCAATAAATGGGCAAAAACAGATTTAGAAATTAAAGGTTCAGGTGATCTTTAAACTAATTTTAGAGAATTGTTTCTTAAGCTTTCTCTGCTAAGCAAGTCTAACATAGTAATAAAAATAGTATGGGACTGGAGTTATATTAAATGCTCCAAATGCTATTTTGCAACCTTTAATTTTTCTTCTTCTGGGAAAAAAAAAAAGTTTCTCCTGATCAAAAAACATACAAATTCTCTTTTCCACAAGTATATTTGGGGGTAAAGGACAGATAAATTTATGTCTTCTAAGTGTCTTTAATGGGAATCTAGTGAAAAGTTGAAAAAATAAAGCAACACACTCAAAACCAGGAGCAATGAAATGTGTTGGGGAGTTTGGATTTTACTATTTTCAAGAATTACACCTCTATTTATAAAGCTGAAGGCAGAATTCAGCATAAACAAGAAATACAATTATAATTTGAAATTTGAAATATAAATTGAGATTAAGCTATTAATATATTCATACACATGTCAAAAGTCCTCAAATTAGTCTTCATTGAGCAATGGTAGAATATAAGACACTTTCCACATAAAGTTTTGGTTAGAATTATGAATACAAAAAGATGCTGTTAAAGATTTGGCTTTCTTAAAACATAAAAACCAACTTGAGGTGTTTAAAAACAAACACAATTTGTGAAAAGTAATATGACCCAACAGAGATAGCACTGCACTGATACCAAGAGAAGTAGTTCTTTAAAATTTGTTTCCATCATGAGTTACAGAATTTCATTAAGTAAATTAATTTTAACTTGCTTCCATTTTTATTTTCCATAAACTCAGGATATTATCCTTCCATAAATGTTACAGAAATTATAAGATGGTCTCCTGACTGTTTAAAAAAGTACATGTGTTAGTTTAAGGCACTGTTTCTATATTTTCTTCAGTAAAATAATTGTAAAAATGAAGTTACCTTTCTTCATCTTTTGTGTTTCTAAAACTGCTTTCCTCCAGCTACTCTCAAAAAGAAAACAACTGTTAAGGGAATTTCTGGTGACATTAGAAGTAGCAAATTTGATTTCTGGAGAGAGGACTGGCATTTTTTCTTCTTCTTTCAACAGTGCTGATGAAAGTGAGATGCTGCTTCAGATTCAGGACACAAAATGAAAAAAAAAAAGTATTTCAGAGATAGATATTTTTTCTAATTTGTTTTCCATCATATAGATTAAATACTAACATAGGCTTACATGGAAAGTTCACTTATAACATGTAAATACATATTCTTGGGATTTTAAAGTAAGAGGCCTTTAATAATAGAGCTAAAATTGGTAGTAAGAGTTTTTTCTCTTAAATATTTTAATAAGTTCTTTCAAATCCCAGGTCACAGATATTTAGGAATATAAAAAAAAATTAAAGCCCAACAGCAAGTTATGGTGCACAAGACAATAAAATGTTTAGGATTCTCTCCAATATATTACCGTTGCACACAATGACCAAATGGGACTTATCTCTGGGATGAAAGGTTAGCTCAACACACAAAAATTAATGTGATATACCACTTTAACAATAAAGGATTAAAAAGTCACATGATCATCTCAAGAGATGCAGGAAAAGCATTTGATAAAATTCAACACTCTTTCATGATAAAAACTCTCAGCAAACTAGGAATAGAGAGAAATTATCTCAACATAATAAAGGCACGTAAAGCCCACAGTTAACGTCACACTCAATGGTGAAGAATCAAAAGTTTTCCCTTTAAGATAAGGAATAAGGCAAGGATGACCACTCTTACCACTTCTATTTAACTACAAGTCCTAGCCAGAGCAATTAGGAAAGAAAAGGAGTCCAGACTGGAAAAGCAGCAGTAAAATTGTCCCTGTTTCAACAAATGTTATGATCTTAAACATGTGGAAAATCCTACAGACTCCAAAAAATCACTTGCTCTTTTATACACTAACAATAAACTACCTGAAAAGGAAATTGGGAAAGCAATCCAATTTACAATAGCATCAAAAAGAATGAAATACTTAGGAATAAACTTAACTAAGGAGTGAACAACTTATACACTGGAAAACACAATGAAAAATTAAAGAAGACACAAACGGAAAGATAACCCATGTTCACAAATTAGAAAACTTAATTTTGTCAAAATAACCATACTACCAAAAATGATCTACAGACTCAATACAATTGAAATCCCAATGGCATTTTTTTTACAGAAATAGTAAAAAAATTCAAAAATTCATATGGATTCACAAAGGACCCCAGATAGCCAAAACAATCTTGAGAAAGAAGATCAAAGCTGGAAGGCAACAAACTTGCTAATTTCAAAATACATCACAAAGCTAAGGTAACCAAAACAATATGATAATGGTATAAAAACAGACACATAAACAACTGGAAGAATAGAATCCAGAAATAAATAGACATATACACAGTCAACTGACCTTTGACAAGGATGCCAAGGAGTACACAATGGGGGAAGTATAGTCTCTTTAACAAACAGCACTGGAAAAACTAGATATCCACATGTGAAAGAAGGAAACTGAACCCTATCTTACACCGTACACAAAAATCAACACAAAATGGATTAAAGAATTAAACCTAAGACCTAAAAGTTAAAACTCCTAAAAGAAAACATAGGGGAAAACTTTCATGACATTGGTCTTGCAATGATTTTATGGATATGATACCAACAGCACAGGAAACAAAAGCAAAAATAGACAAGTGGGACCTGCATCAAACTAAAGAGCTTCTGCATAGCAAAGAAAACAATCAACAGAGTGAAAAGGAAACCTATACGCTGGGAAAAATATTTGCAAATCATATATCTGATAAGGGGTTAATATCCAAAATATATAATTCCAGAGCAAAAAACAAAACAACAACAAAACAAAAAAATAAAAAACCCCTAATAACCTGGTTTAAAAATAGGCTTAAGGACTTGAATAGACATTTCTCCAAAGAAGACATACAAATGGCCAACAGGTATATGAAAAGATGCTCTGGCCAAGGTCAAAGAGGCCTGTGTTCTCCTCTAGGATTTTGAGGTTTCCTGTCTCACACTTAGATCTTTCATCCATTTTGAATTTATTTTTGTGTATGCTGTAAGAAAGTGGTCCAGTTTCATTCTTCTGTATGTTGCTCGCCAGTTTTCCCAACACCATTTGTTGAAGAGACTGTCTTTTTTCCATTGGATATTCTTTCCTGCTTTGTTGAAGGTTAGTTGACCATATAGTTGTGGGTTCATTTCTGGGTTTTCTATTCTGTTCCATTGATCTGTGCATCTGTTTTTGTGCCAGTACTATAATGTCTTGATGACTACAGCTTTGTAATATAGCTTGAAGTCCAGAATTGTGATGCTTCCTGCTTTGTTGAAGGTTAGTTGACCATATAGTTGTGGGTTCATTTCTGGGTTTTCTAGTCTGTTCCATTGATCTATGTGTCTATATTTGTGCCAGTACTATATTGTCTTGATGACTACAGCTTTGTAATTTAGCTTGAAGTCCAGAATTGTGAAGCCTCCAGCTTTGCATTTCTTTTTCAAAGTTGCTTTGGCTATTCAGGGTCTTATGTGGTTCCATACAAATTTTAGGATTGTTTGTTCTAGCTCTGTGAAAAACGCTGGTGGTATTTTGATAGGGATTGCTTTAAATGTGTAGATTCCTTTGGGTAGTATAGACATTTTGACAATGTTTGTTCTTCCAATTCATGAGCATGGAACATTTTTCCATTTCTTTGTGTCCTCTTCCATTTCCTTCATAAGTGTTCTATAGTTTTTACAGTACAGATCTTTTACCTCTTTGGTTAGGTTTATTCCCAGGTATCTTATTATTTTTGGTGCAATTAAAATGAGATCGATTCTTTGATTTCTTTTTCTGCTGCTTCATTATTGGTATACAGAAATGTTCCATCTATCCCTACTTTGCTGAGGGTTTTTATCAAGAATGGATGCTGTATTTTGTCAAATGTTTTCTCTGCATGTATTGAGAGGATCATATGGTTCTTACCTTTTCTTTTATTAACGTGGTGTATCACGTTGATTGATTTGTGAATACTGAACCAACCCTGCGGCCCAGGAATAAATCCCACTTGGTTGTGGTGAAGAATTCTTTTAATGTATTGTTGGATTCAATTTGCTAGTATCTTCTTGAGAATTTCTGCATCCATGTTCATCAGGGATATTGGCCTGTGGTTCTCCTTTTTAGTGGGTCTTTGTCTGGTTTTGGAATCAAAGTAATGCTGGCCTTGTAGGAGTTTGGAAGTTTTCCTTCCATTTCTATCTTTTTGGAATAGTTTGAGAAGAATAGGTATTAACTTTTCTTCAACTTACTAGACTAGTAAGTCTACTTCTAACTGACTAGACATACCACCAGAGGCAAAGAAAACAAAAGCAAAAATGAACTATTGGGATTTCATCAAGATAAAAAGCTTTTGCACAGTGAAGGAAACAATCAACAAAACTAAAAGGCAACTTATGGAATGGGAGAAGATATTTGCAAATGACTTATCTGAAAAAGGGCTAGTATCCAAAATTTATAAAGAACTTATCAAACTCAACACCCAAAAAACAAATAATCTGGGTAAGAAATGGGCAGAAGACATGAATAGGCACTTTTCCAAAGAAGACATCCAGATGGCTAACAGACACCTGAAAAGATGCTCAACATCACTCATCATCAGGAAATACAAATCAAAACCATGATGAGATACCACCTCACATCTGTCAGAATGGCTAAAATTAACAAAAGAAACAACAGGTGTTGGCAAGGATGTGGAGAAAGGGGAAACCTCTTGCACTGTTGGTGGGAATGCAAACTGGGGCAGCCACTCTGCAAAACAGTATGGATGTTCCTCAAAAAGTTAAAAATAAAACTACCCTGTACTCCAGCAATTTTACTACTGGTATTTACCCAAAAGATACAAAAAGACAGATTCAAAGGGGTACATGCACCCCAATGTTTATAGCAGCATTATCAACGATAGCCAAACTATGGAAAGAGCCCAAATGTCCATCAACTGATGAATGGATAAAGAAGATGTGGTGTAGATAGATAGATAGTGTGTGTGTGTGTGTGTGTATATATATATATATATATATATATATATATAGAAAGAGAGAGAGAGAGAGAATATATATATATATATATATATATATATATAATGGAATATTAGTCAGCCATCAAAAAGAATGAAATCTTGCCATTTGTAACAATGTGAATGGAGCTAAAGTGTATTATGCTAAGCAAAATAAGTCAGAGAAAGACAAATACCATATGATTTCACTCATCTGTGGAATTTAAGAAATGAAATAGATGAACATGGGGGGGGATAAAAAGAGAGAGGGAAACAAACCATAAGAGACTCGTAATGATAGAGAACAAACTGGGATGATGGAGGGAAGTGGGTGGGGGATGGGCTAGATGGGTAATAGGTATTAAGGAGGGCACTTGAAGTAATGAGCACTGGGTATTGTATGTAAGTGATGAATCACTGAATTCTACTCCTGAAATCAATTATTGCACTGTATGTTAACTAACTAGAATTTAAATAAAAATTTTGTAAAAAGATGTTCAATGTTATTAACCATTGGGGCAATGCAAATCAAAACCACAGTGAGATATCACCTCACACCTGTTATGATGGCTATTATAAAAATTTTTTTAAAAGACAAGTGTTGGGCAGACTGGACTCCCCTGGAGCCACCCACAACGCCCAGCCATGGTCAACACCCCTGTGTTCGACATCGCCGTGGGCAGGGAGCCCTTGGGCCAGGTCTCCTCCGAGCTGTTTGCAGACAAAGTTCCAAAGACAGCAGAGAACTTCGTGCCCTGAGCACTGGGGAGAAAGGATTTGGTTATCAATGTTCCTGCTTTCACAGGCTTATTCCGGGATTTATGTGCGGGGGGCGGGGGTGGGGGGAGCTTCACACGCCATAAGGGCACTGGAGGCAAGTCCATCTATGGGGAGAAGTTTGATGATGAGAATTTCATCCTGAAGCACATGGGTCATGGCATCCTGTCCATGGCCAACGCTGGACCCAACACGAACGGTTCCCAGTTCTTCATCTGCACTGCCAAGACCAAGTGGTTGGATGGCAAGCATGTGGTGTTCGGCAAGGTCAAAGAAGGCATGAACATCGT